ATATATATATAGAGAGAGAGAGAGAGAGAGAGAGAGATATTTAACAATTGAATTAGAAGTACCTAAATGAATAGAGCAGTAGATCCGACAACCACAAATATAAAGACAGTACAATGACTTGGTATGCATGTTTACAGTGAATTGAGTTGTGGGAGGCACATGTTTTTTGGATGGTGAGGCTAAAAAGGCTGTTTACTTTCCAGTATGGCCAGGATACCAGAGCACTGTCAGGGTGGGAACTACTGACAAGGCCTATTAGAGTGTTGTACAATTCCCGGACTTCAGAAAGCTTGTACTCTAGCCCTTCAGTGCTGAGCTCTGAGAACAGGGGACAGTCACAAGTCTGGGGTTGGATCCTACATGAATGGAAGGTTGACTCTTGGCAGAGTGGTTCAGTTCCTCCCAGAAGCCCAAGCTAAACTCTAATTGCCCACACTTAACAAGAAATCTGTGAATAGCTCGTCTGTACGCCCAAGTGCTCTCAGAGGAGGCTGATCAGCAAAATGTATATGCTAAGTTGGGGAATTCTTACAGTCATCTATGTTGGCATTATAATTTGATTATACTTGGAGCCATCTTAGTCTCAACTGTTTTAATTTGAACATGGGTTCCATGGAAAACGGTCTACACAGCTCCCAAGATAATCTGTATCTAATGATCTATATATATGGAAAAATGTATATGAGCTCTGAAAGAAATACTTAAATGTAAATTCTTGTCTTCCAGCCGGCAAGACCTCCTGAGCAGAAGCTGGCAGAAGAGCCTGCTTAGACAACAGCCGTGCAGTGACTCATCCGTGTTTTCACAACATGTTTCTACCCAGCACCCATGTCTATTTGTAGCCTGACAATAAAGGCCCTATGCAAACCATTTCGGAGCTGTCTGCCTTTAAAAGCAAGGACACTGTTCTCAGTTGACTCATCTGAGCTGCCTATGCTTTTGAGAATAACCCACTGCCACATTTATGAAGGCATGTGATATAATTGCAGACTATTTCAGGCTTTGCCAATGCTTTTCTGCTTAGTCTTAGTCTAGTGTTTACAAAGCTAAGTGAAGCTAGAGGACTTCACCCCTAAATAAACTACTGATATCTCGGGGGGGGGGGGACATTGAAAAAGATTGCTTTCATCAACACCCTATACTGCAAATACCATCAGAATTGGAACTTCTGTCTCTTTTGTTCAACTACCTGTCTCCCTAGGACTAACACCAGTATCTGACACATATTAGACACTCCATAAAAATTTGCAAAGTACAAGATGCCAAGCACCTCACTGAGTATGCTGGAGTGAGAATCTCGGCCAGAAGGCTCCTTTTCTGTCAGTATTGAATGCAAAGCTAAAATGGTTAAATATATACTGTGGAAATTGCTTTCTTTAGAGAAAAGATCAGATTCCTCCTTCAGTTTTGTAAATTTTTAAATAAAATCTTATTGAACTGAGAAAAAAAATTGTAAAGTAATGTCAACATCTGCCTTAGACCTGTGCAATGAGCTGAGCCTTAGCACCAAATCCACAGAATATTCTTACCTCTTGCAACCAAGTCAAGAAGACTTCTCTACTGCCAGAGCATCAAAATTTTTGTATGGTAAAATAAACACCTTTTCAGCTTTGACCTATTCTTCAACATATTAAACCTCCTTTCTCTCTACTTCTTAAAATAGATAAAATTATTGGTTGCATTTCAATTCAACACATATATATATATATTAACAATCATTACTTTTCTATCCCTCTTTTTCAGTGTTTCTGCTACCCACTGTGGCAACTGGAAGTACCAAATTATATTTTAAGAGAAGAATTCTGCCAATATATTTCTTTTTTAAAAAAAAAAATTACTTATTTTATTTATTATTTTTAAGTTTGCTACAGGGAACATGTGCTCACTAAAGAAAAGGGGAGAGAGAGAAAGAGAGAGAGAGAGAGTGAGCAAATCACCAGGTCCGGGACTCAAACTGTGGTCAACCACGTGGGAGTCCAGTACCTTAACCACAATGCCACCTGTTGCCCTGTCAATATCTCCCGTAAAAGAAAAAGGCTTCAGTAGAAAAAAAAATGCTCTTCAGTATTTTCACTCATAGAAAATTTTAAAACAATGCATTTATGGTTTCAGTGAAATTATCAATGAAATTTACAAAAGATGTTGATAAAATAATCAATTTAAGGATGAAAATACCCTCAGAACTATGACTTAATTTAAGGAATTAATTAATTAATTAATATTTTTTTCTTAAATTTGCTATAGAGGACATGCACTCACCAGAGACAAACATAAAGATAGTGAAAGAGAGAGAGAGAGAGAAAGCAATCTGCCAGGCCCAGGACTCAAACCATGGTGAGCCATGTGGGAATCCAGTGCCTCAATCATCACACCACCTGGTGGCCCAGTTTGATTTACTTTAAATTACAGTCAACTCCCAAGAGTCATATCCAGCACGATTATTTCAGTACAAATATTTAACATCCTGATGCACTGAAAGAATTTGTTTCCCTTGACATCTTTAGAGCAAGAAAATAGCCAATAGCAACAATGTAGCAAAGTCTATCCCAGGTCATGCATCACAGTGTCACAGAGGAGAAAAACACCGGTATTCACTGCACAGGTTGCACAATACACTCTTGTACTTCGTAAGAATTCATTCGTATAGAAATCGATTCACCTAGGAAGGTTCAAAATAGACCAGCAGATTTCTTCCCTAGTCTCAGAGGCAGTATTCGAAAGCCAAGTCTTGTGAGATTGCAAAGGATTACAATTAGTTTTAAAAGGCACTAAAGCGAATACGTAGGGGGTGTCACAATGTCCTCATCTCCCTAAGAATGTTCGTGAAAAGCAAAGAGACTGAAAACTTATCTAAGAAAGTCTCCACGCATTCTGAGAAAGTCTTGTTCTTAGTATCTGCTCAGTCATAGCTTTCTTTTATTTTCCTAAGTCTACCTCTCCTATCTTCATGCTGACCTCAGGGTGCTTCCCAATTCTCTCCTCTGCACTCTGTATTCAGCACCTCTCACCATGCCCTGTGTTGATTAGCATTATGCTGTTATTTAGATGAATAGCACCTCCACCTACATATCGATTGGATTTTATAAAACTTAGGGGCTGAATGGTAACACAGTGATAAAACAGGATACTCTGCAAGGCTGACCTACAGAGAGCTGAGTTCCAGATTGGTGTCTGGAGTCCTCCCTGAGTAAACCAGACATACCCATGTGCATAATCCAGGGTGACTGGGGTTGGGGGTGGATCATGGCATCGAGACCTGTGAACAGTACCTGTCTCTTTCTCTCCTTCTCTCAATATTGGAAAAGTCACCAGATTTCACTAAGAATTTTTATCTTTTTTTCTAAAACCAGGCAATGAAGAAATACTGCGTACCATTCTCATGGGAATAAGCAAAGTTGAGTAACAACTGCTTCTTTCTGATGGAGGATGAGCTCTGATAAGTCATCCCAGTCCCCATGCTGTGTGAAAGCCCATGCTAGCCACATGGAAAAGTTGTATGCAGAGTCTGCAGACTGCAGCTGTTCCAGACTTCTCAGCCTCAGCAATGAGGTAAAGAAACTTTGGTGATTTCAGCCTCTGCTGCCATCTGACTGCAAGCATATGAGGGACTAAAGAGAAAAACACTTAGCTGAGCCCATCAGTCACCTAGATTACAATAAAATGGTTGTTCATGCCTCTAAGTTTTGGGATACTAAGCTATGATGCAACAGATAAGGGCTAAAAGGTAAAAGTGCTCTTAAACGAAACACAGTTGTTAAAACACAGGACAGTTTTACTGGGTCAACAAAGATAAAGACAACTGTCATCTTACTTTTGTATTTAGGTAGAAATCTACAACATGAATGTATCCAGGGAAGGAAAGAGAAATGGAAGAAAAAGAAGTGGAAGAAAAGCCAAAAGGTAGAATCAGCATAAAAAAAATAAGCTTGCTGGTAGCATTCATGAATGTCACATAGGCTAAACAACATTAAGTAGTAAAGTGGAGGGACAGAGTTTGAAGGGGTTTGGATCTGGGTCTTTTTATAGGAAGATCACTACTCTGTATTCAGCATCTCTCACCATGCCCATTTTTTTGTTTTAACAACTAAGGTTGCTTTTACTTGTTTTTCTGATTGAGAATTTGTAAAACATCTCTTCTGTTACTGAAACGTCAACAATCATTGATGCAAAACAAAGGTAAATAACCACCTGCAAAGTAACTAACAGATTGTGCTTACAATTTATGGTACAAAGTTGGTCCAGTCAGAGTCTTTGCAGCTTAATGAGAGACTAGGGATAAGAGAAACCACTCTTGGCTTGTATTCATTAAAGGTGAATTCTACCAGTTGATATGCAGACATACCCTTGAGCAAACCATTCAATGATCTACAGACTATGTGCTCATATGTAAGATTAAGCTAATCACACATTGCCCAAGAGTGTGATTCAGAAAATGTAGCCCGTGTATTCAAGATAGTGAAGCTCCAGACCTTCTGCACTGCACGAAATGAAAACAGCTGATATGCTTTTGCCCAAATAGAATTGTATATCCTCATTTCCTTTCCTTCTTCTCCCCACTTGTGACTCAAGCCAGATTTCATCGAGCTATTTTTGTAATTACTAAAATGCTGGCGATACAGCAGCAGGCCAGAAGCAAAGTAAAACGCAGCATCCAGCAAAAGAAAGACAATCACGCTGAGTAACTGAAAGGCCATCTGCTCCTAACGGAGCAGCAGGGGTGAGGAAGGCAATCTGGGCTGAACTATTTGTGGCCTCCCCAAAACCATACCCACCTGCATGTTTTCGGTGGCATCCCCAAGCAGTCCTCCAAAAGTGATAGCATTAGTTACAGTTGCCAGATAAATGAAGAGAATTGCTGAAAGAGCCTGAATATTTAAAGCGTCATAAAAGTCACTGGCAAAAAATGGTGCTTTCCTCTTTATGTCCTTAATTAGTCCACCACAGAACCTGCACCGGGAGAAGGCAAACATGTGACTCGAGGCAAAGTACACGGCCGTCAAATTAATCCAGAAATCAGTCAGTAAATCACAATGAATTTGGACTTAAAAAGCTTGAAGCAATTAACAACATACTACTTAACTACTTAAGGTGAAACCAGAAAACTGCAGAAGAACATTTTTTTTTTTTTTTGGTCACCACAGTGGGTGTCACATTCCCTAAAGACATGAACTGTGTAGACAAATCACATTTTTTTTCCATTGCCTAAAGAAACATATCAAAATACATTAGCAGATCATAAGACCCTTTATGATCTCGCCATAGCACCCTTTCCACCCTACTCATTCATTCTGTCATTCTTCCCACCAATGTTTACTGAGTACTTTGAGATGCCCACATTTCTGGGTGCTGAAATACAACAGTGAACAACACGGGGGGGGGGGCAGGGAATGACCTGCTCTCATAGACTTTACAGACCTTAAACAAGATAAATAAGTAAAACACACAGTGCTAAGAATCAAGGAGAAAAATTACATGGGGGAGAGACTTACGTAGTAGTGGAGCAAAGGTAGTTGAAATTTAAGTAGGAGGGCCAGAACAGGCCTTCGAGAAAGTAACTTAGGGGTTCGAATCTGAAGGAACTCAGAGAGGAGGTCAGACAGGTGTGTGATGGAAGAGCCTGTAAGCTGTGTCCCCTGCCAGTGGTTAGCAGGTCAGCTGACTGGTGCCATCTGTCTCCTCACCCTCCCAACCCAACCCCACATCTCATTAGCCTCCCCCATGTCCTCACTCCTGCCTACAATGCCCTCTCTCTACTTAACTACTTAAGGTAAACCAAAAAAACTCAAAAAAAACTTTTTTTTTTTTTGGTCACCACAGTGGGTGTCACATTCCCTAAAGACATGAACTGTGTAGACAAATCACATTTTTTTTCCATTGCCTAAAGAAACATATCAAAATACATTAGCAGATCATAAGACCCTTTATGATCTCGCCATAGCACCCTTTCCACCCTACTCATTCATTCTGTCATTCTTCCCACCAATGTTTACTGAGTACTTTGAGATGCCCACATTTCTGGGTGCTGAAATACAACAGTGAACAACACGGGGGGGGGGGCAGGGAATGACCTGCTCTCATAGACTTTACAGACCTTAAACAAGATAAATAAGTAAAACACACAGTGCTAAGAATCAAGGAGAAAAATTACATGGGGGAGAGACTTACGTAGTAGTGGAGCAAAGGTAGTTGAAATTTAAGTAGGAGGGCCAGAACAGGCCTTCGAGAAAGTAACTTAGGGGTTCGAATCTGAAGGAACTCAGAGAGGAGGTCAGACAGGTGTGTGATGGAAGAGCCTGTAAGCTGTGTCCCCTGCCAGTGGTTAGCAGGTCAGCTGACTGGTGCCATCTGTCTCCTCACCCTCCCAACCCAACCCCACATCTCATTAGCCTCCCCCATGTCCTCACTCCTGCCTACAATGCCCTCTCTCAAAGCTCAACAGCTCCCTAAAACCTTGGCCCCACACTTGTCCATATTTCCACAATGGGCTTTCACACTTTATCCGAATTGCCCATCCATTCGGGGCTTATGGATCTCAGCTGCACTCGGTGCTCTGCTTTGGTGTTCTTGGTATGCACAAGGCTGGGCATGGTGCAGGGCAGCCTACAAACTCTCCATGCATTCAGGAAAATAAAATATGGACAAATAAAATTACAGTCTGGTTAACTAAAAAACTAAGTCTCAAAACCCATCTTTGTAGAAATAGAAAGGAGGATTCCTAATGGAAATAGTTTGTGAGAACTATTCAGAAAAAAAAAATAAGAAAGGAAGAGAGGTTTTATATGTTCTATATTTTTTAAGAATAAAGATGAGAAAGATAATTTCCCTTTAATTTGAAAGAGAAGCCCAAGTGGGCCATCAGGAGAAAGATAGAACTTCATTTCATTCAGATTCGATCGCATATTAAAATGACATACTACTGGGGCCAGCTGGCGGCATGGTAGTTAGTGGCGCTGGACTCCCACATGGCTGACCATGGTTCAAGTCCTGGACCTGGCGGCTTGCTTTCTCATTCTCCCCATCTCACTCTGTCCCTCTCTGCTCAAATTATGAATAAATAAAGTTAAATAAAATAATTCTTTAATACTGGACCTAGTGGCTTGGTTTCTTACTCTCCCTCTCTCTCTCTGGTCAAATTAAAATAAATGAATGAATAAATAAATAAAAATGACATACTATTTTGTTTTCAAGAACTCTAAAGTTTTTTTTTGTTTTCTTTTTAGTTTGCTATAGGGCACATGCACTCACCAGAAAAAGAGAGAGAGAGAGCAACATGCACTCACCAGAAAAAGAGAGAGAGAGCAAGAGAGAGAAATCACCCCACCCCCAGGGGGATGGCCACACCACAATCTCTTCTCCTCTTGAGACTTTGGGCATGCGTGCACATTTTTGAGCCTCTGGGTCCGGAACTTGAACCATGCAGTTGACTATGTGGGATCCAGCCATCTTAACCTCCATACTACCTGCTGGTCCACCCTGCAGTGTTTTTAAAAAGCCACATGATCCTAAAATGACTGTGTTACTTAAAATTATTTATCCCAAAATGAAATAAAGAGAGCCTAATACTGAAGGAAGAATTTTTGTGCATAGAAATGAACTGAAGCAATCTGGAAAATCTGCAGGAGAAGGAGGAGACAGAAAAGTGGCCTGTGAGTTACTAGTGTCTATAACCTGTTACTTGCTTGTGAGTAGATGCACAGGGAGAGATGGGTTCATGAAAGCCCACATGGGGAGGAGTGAACGTTCTTCAGTTCTCTTGCCACACAGATGCTCCACCATCTCCCAGGCCTCACTGGAATGTCCCCTCGTCACTCCACTCCAGCCATGAACGGGGCACTCTGTGTCACAGACCCCTGCTTACTCTCACCCACAGTCTGTCTCTCATCATCTCCAACTCACTCCTCAAATATCGCCATCCTCGGAAAGACCTTCTCCGACCACCCTGTCTAAAATTGCAAGTCTAGTCTCTCATTGCACAAGTCCCAATTTCTGCCTTTTCTTCATAAAACCATCACGTACTTATTTGCTAACTTAAGTCTGTCTCCCACCTCAACAAAGTAGGACCCTTACAGCAGCAGGTTTCATTTAATTCATAGCCCAGAGCCTGTGACTATAAATGTACTATAAATAACTGTTGGCTGAACAAATGAAGAAACCAGTGAATGAAATGCTGATAGAATGATAGAGATTTAGATCTAAGAACGTCATCAAGAGTAGCAAAAGGATCCATCAGTTACCGTCCAGTTCGCTGCAGTTCTTCACAGTCCCCATGTCCTCCTCCTCCATGTCCTCCATCATGGGGTGTGTCCCCATTCATCTGAACATTCTCCCCTCCTGAGTACATATTCTTTCTAAGCAAGACAACAAAAGATATTAGGTTTTTAAAAATATTATTATTGTTCATGTGTTTCATAGCTGTATTAAGCACTGATAACTGGAAAGACAGAGTGAAACCCCTTTGGGGAAAAGATCATCATCTTTTTCTAATATACTAATAGATAATTATTAAAGTGTTGTATTTAGAGCCAAGAAAAAGGACTGGATGAATAGAAAAGCTGATTGAATTATATATGGTATAAAAGGGAAACTTTCACCTGGGAAATGCTGCATTTCTAGAAAATGGCTTCTCTTCAATTATCTCATCTACTTTCCAATCTCTTAAACCTACAAGGACTCATTCTTGAATAAACCGATCTTTACACATGTACAGGGAGTCCCCAAATATCCCCAAAGAATCTCAGCAATGCACTGCAATACCATAATCTCTAGTTTGTCATCACTGGAGAACATGACATCATTTCACATTTATTCCTCAGTGTCCAGAAAATATGAAACCAAGGTACATTAAGTGCTTGATTTGAGATTACACAGTAGAAATGGGAACCTGAAAGTATCAGTGCAATATCCTAACCCTATTCCTTTTTCAAACACACTCTCTTTCTCGGAGCTGTCCCAGCAACAGAAGATTCCCAACTACCTAGTAGTTTACCTTTTGTCAGATGATGGAAGGCTCTTAGGAGGCTCTATCCTGATTGCCGGGTCCCATTCTCCAGGTGGGAGGACAATGACTTCATCTAAGAACTCATCAATGCCAGCGATCAGATCATGCCTGTCTTTTGCTTTATAAGCAATGTCATGGAATACCTAAAGAACAGTAAGAGGTATGCTGCTTCAACAAGAAAACGCTCCTCCTACCTCACACGGGGCCAGGCCTGAAGAATGCAACCCAGAGTGTTATTACTGTAACTGTGTTCTCCTAGTTCCTATTACTTAGTTTGTCCCAAAGTATTCAGACCTTCAGACTACGATCTCAAAGAATCTAAGTAGAGGCATGAGGAAATTACTGTGTGTGCGTGTGTGTGTGTGTGTGTGTGTGTGTGTGTGTTGTTTTGTTTTGCTTTCCTATCAATACTATAAAACAACATGGCCTTTCAGCCCCCACTGGTATGTACTACTGCTGATACAGTTGCTATGAAAACAGTTTGGAGAAATGTACTGAAAAGTCATTCCCTGAAATAAAAACTATGGGGACAAACAATTGCTGTTAATTTAGGAAGAAAAAGTTCAAACCAAATGTGAGGATCAAGTTAAGACCTAAACACTGAAGCTCTCAATTAATATGACCTATTAAAAAAGAACAATCTGGGACCTGCAGATGGCATAATGGCTATGTTGCTGGACTCCCATGTAGTTGACTGAGGTTTGAGTCCCAGACCCAGTGACTTAAACTCACACCAGGCATGTGTGCATGTGTGCCCAAGATCCCGAGAGGAGAATGGAGGAGAAGAAATTGCATCATGGTCACCACTACCACCCCACCCCCCAGGTAGTGATTTCTTGCTTTCTGTCTCTCTGTCTCTCTCTGTCTTTCTGGCGAACTCATGCGCCCTATAGCAAAAACCCCTCCAAAAAAAAAAAAAAAAAGAAAGAAAGAAAGAAAGAGAGAAAAAGAACAATCTAGGGGTCAGCAGGTAGTATAGTGTTTGGGGTGTTGGACTCCCACAGAGCCAACCATGGTTGGAATCCCAGACCAAGTTTCACTTTCTCTCTCTCTCTGGTGAATGCATGTGTCCTACCGCAAATGTAATGATAATAATAATAATAATAATAAATAAAATAAAATTTAAAAATAATAGGAAAAAGAAAAATCTGATTTATATTGGTAAAACATAAAGCAAAGGGATTTAAATTGGTGGTCATTTGTCTCCCTTTTAACAAGGTAATTACTAAACTGTCCAAGGCAGTAAGTAAAAGATTCATTTTTTTTTAATACAGATCTTTAAAGGAGCTACAAAATGTACACAATTATTTGAGTCAGTTTTTCTAGTCTTCTATTCTAATTGATGATGTGTAAGTTCTTTACATATAAATGGAGTATTTTGTATTTTATAAGTCAAAATCTTTGGTCTTAGATGAAAGGACAGCCCCTATTCAACACTCCATTCTTAAGAAATATTACTAAATCTCTTCTCTTGGGAAAGTAAACCTTAGGGGGCCATCAGGTGGCATGGTGATTAAGGTACTGGATTCCCACATGGCCAACTACGGTTTGAGACCTGGACCCAGCGGCTTGAAAATCATGCCAGGTGTATATGTGTGTGTGTGCCCAGAATCCTGAGAAGAAAACAGAGGAGAAAGGACTGTGGTATGGTCATCCCCCCCATAGGGTGATTTTTCACTTTCCCTCTCTTTCTAGCTCCCTCCTGCTACTCAAACCATGGTCAGTCATGTGAGAGTTCAACACCTTAACTACCACACCACCTGCTGGCCCCAAGAAAAAGAATTTTTAAAGTTATCAATGAAATAATAACTTGCTGGCCTGAGGGTTGTAGCGTTTGGGGGGGGGTTACAAAGTGCCAGCACAGCATCTATGACAAACATGGCCATTCTCAGCCTCAGTTTTTGTTGCTACCTCCCCCTATGGTGGCAGGAAAGTTAGAGATCCACTTTCCAAGCCAACCCTGCAGATAAAGATTGATAGCTCTCATCAATGAGATATGTGAAAAAGGTTGTCTGGGAAAGTTTTAGATGGCCTTTTCAAAAAGAAACGAATACAGCTAACATGACCCCACATCACCTTGTCCCACCTCACATAGAGATGAGATGGCCGGAGCTGACTCAGCAATGTTCTCTTTTAGTATCAATTAGGAAAACATGCCGTCTTTAAACCATGAAGCCCGAGCCTTAGCACTTGGTCATCATTAAGCAAGTTAGTTAAATGAATCCCTGCAACTACCTCTCTCTAAACTTCTTAATAGTGAGAACAATAAATCTCGAATTGTTTAAGCCACTCTATCATTTACAGCCTCAAGCATTTCTAATTCATATAGCTTAGGAGAAAGGATTTAAAGAAGAATTATAAACATACAAAAAAATTAGATGAATCTTGCTGAGACAAGGGAAATATGTGTTCCCTTGAAGGACACAAAAAGAGAACAGCTATGCTTCGATGATCTTGGGCCCAGAATAAGGTAGCCACCTGAGTAATCACCCCACAGAGCTTCTATAACTGAGGAGGAACATGTTCTATTCTCCCCTTGAACACATGAAAAAAAAACTTACAAATCAAGCAATGAAGTAAAAGCCAATGATTTGAGAAAATAATAAAATAGAAAGAAAGAGAAGCAGAATGTAATGATTCAATTATTCTAACAGTCTTTCTCCTGCTATAAGTCTAGTTCAGAGTCTTATCATGTCTAAAAATGCATGTAACAACATTCGAGTTGTGTAAGAGTCAGTGAGGTTGTAATTCCAACGTACTGGGTCATCAGAAAAGTCATGACATGTTTTTCTGTTTTTCTATGCAAAAATGTGTCATGACTTTTTTTAAAAAAGAATTATTTTATTTAATTTTATTTATTTTAATTTGGTCAGAAAAGGACAGAGAAAGAGAGAGATGGAAAATGAGAAAGCAAGCTGCCAGGTCTGGCCCGCGAACTGCAGTTGGCCATGTGGGAGTCCACCTGCTGGCCCTATATCATGACTTTTCTGTTGGTCTAGCAGTAAATACTATGCAGTAAAGGTTGCTAATGCATTTTATATGTATATCATACTTTCCCACAAAATTTAAAAAACAAAGACATGTACTTTCTGTTACCTAATAAAAATGCAATATCCATTTTATTATACATTATTTCATAGGACCCATCACTTCTGAAATCATATCATACACAGGCATTTGAATTTTCTGAATTAATATGTTAAACGTTTTAAGGGGTAAAGTTGAAGTTGATACAATGGCTTTGACCCTTTCAAAGAATATGCATACATCTGTTTTATGAAGTTTGAAAATGTTTACAAAGGGAATGTATGTGTTATTCCAACATAGAGTTTAGAATTCAATATAAAACCAAAATGTATGCTTTACTTTTTGAAAACCATATAGGAATCCATTATTTGCCACATCTGATTGTATCTCATACCATAAAGAGGTCTGATAACCACATAATTCTCCTTGATTAAGTTGTGACACTCCAGTCACAGTATAAGAATGATACAAGTAGAACATCCCAGACTTTCACCTTCCTAAGTCCCTACCTCATCAGACATCAGCGTGGCAATGGCTCTGCCGATCTCATGGTAGGACTTGGCTTTCCCCTTCGGACCTAAGAGAATGAACAAGAACCTAACGGAAAGGGAAAGAAGCAAAAGTTATAATACACATTTCCTCAAACTCAATATATAGAAAAGTGAGAAATGTTTATCTCCATTTATAAAAAGGTTAGATCTAGAATTCACTTTAAAGCAAAGGTAATATTCTTGGCAATAGGAAGGATGTTCTTTCACGCCACTGCAAAACACCAATCAATATGCAGTTTATTTGAAGGCAAAGGAAAATTTAGCATGAGAACCTGACAAGCTCCTTTGGAGCAGAAAAGGCTTATTTTTTATGTACTATCTGAGTCATTCCACCTTTCTTTTTAACTTTTCTTCTCTCTCCATTCCTATTGACTTTTAGAATCTTTGGAGCAAGCCCATGAAGCATAATAACTAGAGAAACTAAATACAAGCTTCAGATTTCTCTGACTTTTCCTTACCCAATATGGGTAGTGACAAATGATCCACTCCATACTTCTAAGAAATGTTTCTACTCAGAAGAGACTGGGAGTCAGCAAAAGCCAAGCCATCTACGAGTAAGTCACATGCTGACAGCCAACATAAGAAAAGAGAAATACGAGAGAAATTCAAAATAAAGCATCTTTCACAGACAGTTAAAATTCTTTTCTGGTGTCCTCATTTTCCTTTCCAAACATTTTTTTCTTCATAATGCACAAAGCATTGCTCTATAACAAACAGGTCCTGCAGTGTGCAATCATGCTTGTCCCCACTGATGTTCAACTTCCATCGTGTTGGAAGAAATCCTTCATTAACCAAAAGGGTAAAGGTGCATGTCTCCACTGGGGAAAAAGGAACTTGATTAGTAAATTTCAGGGAAAAAAATACACAAATGGAGGGAGCCAGCAGATGGTGTAGCAGTTCGGTCACTGTACTCCCGCATGCCAACCGCAGTTCAAGTCTCGTACCTGATGGTATGAAACTCATGCCGGGCATGTATGTGTGTGTGTGTCCAAGATCTCGGGAGGAGAATGGAGTAGAAGATATTAGTGAGGCCAGCCCCCCTGGGGGTGATTTCTCACTTTCCTTCTCACTGTCTCTGTCTCTCTCTCTAGTAGGTGCATGCACCCTAAGGCAAAAACCTCAAATATATAAACCTGGGGCCACCAGGTGGTATAGTGGCTAAGGCACTGGACTCCCACATGGCCACCCATAGTTCAAATCCTGGAAAGAATTATTTTATTTAATTTTATTCATTGTCATTATTTTGTTTTATGCTTTTGAAGTTCACCAGAGAGAGACAGAGAGAGAGAAGGAAAGTGAGAAAGCAAGTGGTCAGGTCCAGGACTTGAACTGCGGTCAGCCATGTGGAAGTCCAGCTGCCTTAACCACCACCGCACCACCTGCCAGCCTCTTTGTTATTATTATTTGTTTTCACAAGAAAGAGAGAAAGGGAATGTGAGAAAGCAAGCTGCCAGATCCAGAACTAGAAACACAGTCTTGTAGAAGCCCAGCACCCCAAGCATCACACCACCTGCTGGCCCTAAAAAAATTCTTGTCTTAATATCAATCATGTCTTAACCTAAAAGGGAGATTGTGAGGACAATGAAAGTGATATCAAATGCTTGCACATTTTTTTTAAAGCTTGCAAAGCATTTCACATTCACTTTATTTAAACTTCCTTATAATCCTTTGCAATTAAGGACAGGTATCTTATTCCTATTTAGTGGGAAGGAAACTAAGGCTGAAGGAGGTTAATAGATGACCCCAAGATCTGTGCCTAAGAAATGACAGAGAGCAAGCAAGATTAACCACCTGTTCTCTGCCATACAACTCTGCCCATTATTACCTGCCCAACCCATACACCACGTTGTGATTCAACAAAGAAAAGCTACCCAACGATGACAAGCATAAGTCACTTCAGGAAAGAATTTGTGGAGATGAGAAATCTCAGGTGAAGGTTTCATGGCACCAAAAATTAGCTAAATTTTAGCTTATTTGTACTTACTTAATTAGGAATCTCACTTTAAGTAAAAAAGGATTGACAAGAGCTGTACAAAATGTTAGGGTGTATTCCAAAATGCTCTTGAATGTATAATTACCTTTTTTCGTCACCTAATTTAATCCAAAGGTGATAAAATTAAGCCAGAAACTAAGAATGTAAAAAAATGACTGGAAGTTGGAATACTAAGATTCTATACCAGAACACCATAAAGCCATTCAGAAGTTATTTGCCAGCAACCACTTCAGGCGTGGAGCAGTGCATTCACTTTCAAGTGCTATCCTAAAAGATGAAATAGCAAAAGCGAT